GGAGTGGCGTGATACTAGTCACGTGACCTCGCTGACGCAACAATATAAACCTTTTACACAAACCCAAAAATTGAAATAAAATAAGTGCTTCGATCATTAACCAAATAAAGTTAAATTCACTAAAATCAAGAAAATACAAAATCAAAAACCGAAATTACTTAATTTCAATGATAAAATACAATGGAATAAGAAAAATAAGTCTACACATTCGTTACCATTGATCGATTGCAACACAAATGCAAAATCAGAACTATACAATAATGCAAAAAATAAAGATAAATACTTCAACAAAGATCATATATAAAGTTGTAGATAGATGGTTGCATCACATGAGACTGTCAACTAATTAGCTATCAATAGTAAGAGCAATGTCATCTGCACCTGCTCAAACATTTTGGAATGAAAAGACTGTAGGCTAGAAATTACTCATTATTTATATATAACGTTCAGAAATATGGACATATATATATATATGCTTAAATTTATATATAAAATAATCATAATGAAAGAAGAAAGTATATATATCATACCACACATATAAAGCAAAGATAAAATGAGTTTTCACAAAATGCAGAGATTCATGTGCATACAGATATATACAAACATACAAAAAATGAAAGGTATTTTGCATGGCTGTGGAAATCAAGAGCTCCTCACTATTACTTAAGCCTCGACAGGAGGCCCTCCTGTGCTTTGTTTAATGTTGAGATTTTGGGCTAGTTCAGCATGAGGTACCTAGATCTCTTCCTGTAGTAGCGAAAGTAATTATGCTCCCTTCTGAGGTTGGTACTCCTTTCTGTTGTACAGTGCTCAGGCATCTGCCTACTTAGTGGCTTGCTCCTAAGAATGGCAGTTGAAGGATGGGATCTGCTGAAGATTCAGATGTTGTATGATTTCTGCCGAAGATGTGGTGGGTAGTTCTATCTTCCCCAGCTGCTGAGGCTGGGTGTAGAGTCATTTGGCAAGTAGAGGAGGTATAGCAACTGATGTGGATGCTTCCACATTGGTGTGAGGAGCTGATGCCTGGGCTGATAACACCTGGTACCCTAATTACAAGTAGGTAAGCATTACTGGTGCTGGAACCAGCTCTAAGAAGATTTTAATTCTAGTAAGATTTATTTCAGCTTTGGAATGTGGTGGTTCTTTTACAGTTGGATACTCATTAGAAGATGATGTATTTTCCCCACCTGACACTTACTAATGGGTCAACTTAGGGTCCTATTCTGAGCCTCCAAAGGCTCAGCTGATTCTGATTTAACAAGAGTTAGTATCATTTCCGGGCACTCTTTGTTGGGCAACGGGTAAACTGGGTTCTACTGAGGTGTTGATTGTGGCAGGCATCTCAGTCCCCATAAATTCATCTCATGGTAGCTCTGTATTTGTCATCCAGTTCATGGTGGTATAGGATGTTGGGACTTTTGAAGACTTGTTAATTTGTCTGTGGTTTCATTAAGAGCTTGCATATCTGACTAGTCAACAAGCAATGTGTTTTCATCCATTGGCTCTGATTCTTTCTGTCTGAGCATTTGATCAGCTTCCAGAGTCTTAGGAAGAGCAGAATAACCGAAAATTTAATGGAAGTTCCCGATGAAAAAATTCTCAATGTATCTTTCTTACATTTTGGTGCAGCAATTTCTCTCTCAGCCATTTACATTCGGACGTCATTTTACAAAACAAGTACTTGCCAAATGATGTTACTTTAAAACTATGCCTCATACGAAACAAAGATGCATTTTGTATTATGTCAATGATGAATCAGGTTTCAAGATTGTTCTAAAATACGTTTCAATTTATGTTAGAAAAGTCAATATCAGTCCATCAGTCATTCTGTCGCACGCAAAAGTCTTTCAGAAGTGAAGTGCTAAATGTCCTTTGAAACACATAGAGTGCAAATCATTTTTAATTTCTCAGGGAAACTTGCAAACATCTATCAATAACGTATTTTTAGGTCAAGTACCCACACGTCTTGTTATAGGATGTGTTGATAAATGTGTTTTTAATGGATATTGGAAGAAAAACTCACAACTTCAAACATTAAAATATCAATTTATTTACAATCAATGTCGACGGAAAGGAGATTTCCGCACGGCCGTTACAATCAGAATGACATCAATTCCATGGCAGTCAATGTGGATGGAAAACAGATTTCTGCTCGACCTTTACAACTTGATTTGGATTCGGAGCCGTATGCACGAAGCTATGAAACATTATTTAGAGGAGCGGGAAAACAGTTTAAAGATCCCTGAATCCATATGGGATATAACGAATACGAGGGAAGATATACACCTTTTGTTTCTGATCTTACACCCAATCTATCCATTGGTGATTCACACTTTATCTTGGTGAAACAGGGAAATTTATTTATTGAGATACGATTTGGAAAGCATTACTCAACACTATAAACGTCCTTGCCTATGCAGAATTTTAGTCCATTTTTGAAATTGGTCAGTCTAGAAACATCATCACTGATATCTAAGAAGCAATGAACACGAGAGATTTATTCTATACTCACAAGATTTGTGTATGCATAATAACCTGGGAGGTGTGCTTGCAAGTGATCAACTGCCTAACCGTGCAGATAAAGAGCTGTACATCATCAATTAGGATCCGAGTCATAAACCTGGAAGTCACTGGGTATGTATCTACTTTGGTTGAAATGAGAAAGAATAATATTTTGATTCCCCTTGGTCTGCCTTCACAACATAAAAAAATCACCAAAAAGAACTGTCAAATGTGGACTTACAATAAGAAGGTTGTGCAAGGACCTTATTACACAATGAGTGGTCAATTTTATATATATTAT